ATTTTATGGCGTCTGCGACCTTACCATTGGTGCTGGTGCTCGGAGGTGAAGCAGGTGGTGGTGTTCTGTCGCTCTCACTGCATTTGTTCATTCTTGCAGGTTTCTGTGTATTGTTGGAGGGTGAAAAATCTGAATCACTGGAATCAACTTCTGGCTCCCACTGCATATCAGAATCAGAGCTGCTGAGAGACTCATCTTCACTGTAGAACTGCTGAGGCGTTGGTGGTCGCAGAGACCTCACCTTATATTCAGGAAGTCTAGTCAACACTACCACTGGCTTTTTAAATGGTCTGGGACAGTCCAAGCCGTTTTGGCATAGTTTCCTCTTTCTGGCAGTTTCATTTACACAGCAAACTGAGTCATTTGGAGGCTCAAACATATGTTCTGCAAAGAAAAACACAAGTGTAAAATGTGATGTGCAATTAAGACAAAAAAAAAAATACAAAAGCAAAACTAAAACAAACATTATGTTTATGTTGCAGTCTAATTAGATGTTAAATTAATAAGAAACTTTTGATAACTTATTTTTTAAATACTCATTTTATTGTTCAATAAAAAGCTTAAGATACCATGTGGACATGGATGAGATTTTTGGTCACTAGTACAATACATGGGTCATTTCATCTCCAATCCCGTTACTAAGAATTTCATGTCACAATACATTTTGTGTGTTTTATTTTGCATTACCATTAAATACAACTACATACAATATACACTTTTGATACCTCTGTCCCAATTTACAGATCCTGATTCGTTTTATGATAAGAGACATTAAAGACAATTTCAGGTGCTTATCTTTAACAGTTTTTTTTTAGATATTCATATTTAAACATTGTCTCAGACTTTGAAGGGCAAGCAAACATGCTGGATGGAAGTCGAAAGAACATTTTTCAGATCTATAGCTTGAAAATTACATGATATATGAAACTAAAATTTTAAAGCAATGATTTTGTACAGTGATGTGAAAAAGCGTTTGCATCTTTCCTGATTTCCTTTTTTTTTGGGCATGTTCATCATACTACATGCACTACACCTCGCCTCGGTGTAGTTCTTTCCAAATATATTTTAGTATTTTAGCTTGTGACTACATTTGCAAATCGAGAGTTTTGATTTACTCTCATGGGACTGGTGAGGGACCAGACAAAGAGAGAGTCAAAAGACCCTTATGAGTGAATAATCTAGGGAATAGTTCAGGGGAGGTGTGTGCCTGGTGGTTGGCCCTTGGCCCATTAGGTCTGGCTGGGAGCAGTCCGAAGCAAGGATAAGTCCAAACTCTGGACTATGAATTTTTTTTGGCAAATGGTCAAGTGGAAGGCTCAAAGTCATATAACAACAACATACTTACTTTCATCCTCACATTCATAATCCAACAGGTTTTCTTCTGTCTTCAAGGACTCCTCACATTCATAATCCAACAGGTTTTCTTCTGTCTTCAAGGACTCCTGAAGTAACAATGTTTTCGTCTCCAACTGATCCACAGTCATAATCATAGCCATGGCCACTATAACAAAAATCAAACATTGGAGCTTTCAGTCATTTATTAAAGCTTCTGTACAAAGATAAGTGTAAGCAGACGAGTTGCTGCCCCAAGGGGAGAAGTTTAAATATTTTGGGGTCTTATTGACAATTAGGGTAACTTCTGCAGTGTTGCGGATTCTGTATTGGCGTGGTGAAGAGAGAGCACAGCATAGACGCAAAGCTGTCAATTCACTATCTATGACCATACCTTCACCTATGGTCACGAGATGTGAGTAGTGAACTTTGATATCCCCAAAGGTCAGCTGGACTTTCCCTTTGCAAACGACTGAACTCCTCATCCTTTCAACAGGGACAGTAGGGCCACTACTCTTTCGCACCAAAAGGCACCAGTTAAAGTGGTTCAGGCATCTAACCAGTTCCCCTCCTGGATGAGGTGATCTGGGCATATCCAACCAGGAAGTGCCCTCGAAGGTAGACCCACAAGCTCCTAATTACATCTCTAGCCTGACCCGGTATTGCCCCAGGTGACCTGAAGGAGGTGGTGTAGTACATGTGGTCGGTCTGGGCCCAGGACCCAGGACTGAATAAATGACAAAATAAATAGACTACCTGACACAAGAGTTTATTATGAGCACCTTGGGGTTCTCTTGTATGGTTTTCTAGTAACACGATAAAAAATAACTACGCCACTTTATAAAAAAAACAAACAAACAAAAACACACACACACACAGCTTAACCGGGGAAAAATACTACATGTACTGTAGAAAATAAAGACATGAATGCAGGAAAAAAATGAGTCAGTTAACACGGCCGTTTAATAAACGCGTTCACGTGTGTTTTGACTTCTTTCCGTTAGCTTTTCTTTAGTACAACAAATGCCGTTAGCTTAACTGTTCCTTTTTACGGCTGAAAGTTAACCTAACGATCACGATTGTTCTTATAACCAAGCACACAGACTTACCTGTTGTTGTATCCCGAATATCCACCTTAAAAATCACAAAGGTCTGGTCCTTTTTGTGAGCAGAAGCAATTAAAAGCTAAAAATCGGTCGCTCGAGCTAGCTAACTTCCTTTAGCACTGACAGGCTACGTACAAAAGGAAACAAAGAAACATACCGTTAAACTTCCTTTCAGATTTTGCATCGCAAAAGTATTTAAATTACACAAAACAACTCGCACTACGATTCTTTTTTGCTACTTAGACGTGTACGAAAATAGGAACCATTCCAAAATTTGCTTTCATACTTTGTGGCAACTAGGCCCCAAAACAAGTAGGTTGCCCGCGAGAATGACGCAAGTTTGATTTTACCCAGGCATCCTTGTGGCTGCCTGGGGTCCTGAGCTACGACGTGATAGGTCAGGATTTGGTTGCAGTAAGTCTCCTTCAGCTCGCCCTCCAACCGGTGACGCCTTCCTCGGTTTTGCGTTGTGAGGAATATTTGTAATAAAAACCACTTTCCTACGCCGCTAGCATCATCTTCCACTGGTAAGAGACTCCTTAATTTAGGCTTACGATGTTATTCTTCTTCACAGCACGGATTAATCAGTTGTGAAGCGCTTGACACACACCGGCACTCTCCAGGCTAGCAAAGTTAGCTGCTAGCTTTAGCTGCGCCTGACACATGTCGCGTGGAATACTGGCCAGTTTTGCTGTTATGCGCTTAATGCTGCTAAAATGTAAGATGTGTGGCTTAAAAGCACTTTAGGAAAACATTCACAACTTTAACATTAGCTATGCTTTGGTTATCCACTACGTAGAATGGTTGGTTATCCATGCTACTAGAGGACTCCTTGAGCGAACGATCATTTTAAGTAACACATCTCCCAGAACAGGCATGTACCTCGCCACGCCTAGCTGTGACTGTCAGTTAATGCGTAGGAGTAGTTTAATTAGAGCCAGGCCCGCTGCCTCTTATCAGTCAGATAGGCTGCTTTCACCATAGAGTTGTAGACTGTATTCTGACGAGCACAGTACTACAAGTTTGACTTTGCTGCAGTGTACATTGCTCATCAGGTCATCAGCGGGATGGTGAAATGGTTATAACTCCTCAATGCAAGGCTTAGTTTTCATTACAGATGTCAAAACTTTAGAAAGAGTAGATTATTATGCTGAAGATGTCCTCCAGACTCTGACAGTATTTCACACTTCGATGGGATAAAATGTGAAAGCAACGTCTACCTATTATATTCATGTACAGTTTCCATTCACATCATAAACAGACACAAGTACAGCTACCCACTGTGACCACTTGTGAAAAAGCAAGCAGAAAGGAGCTTCGTTTATTAAAAATTAAGATAATTGTACCACAGTATGTTAATTCTGTTCACAGATACAATGGCTGTGCCTCCTTCATATGCTGACCTGGGCAAGTCTGCCAAGGACATCTTCAACAAAGGCTATGGTATGATTTGATTTTTGAAGGTTTGGCCAATGTGTTAAAATTGTAGGAAAGCTTTAAAATAATTTGAAAAAAAAAATCAATGTGTCTTTCCTTAAGGATTTGGCCAGGTGAAGCTTGATGTCAAGACAAAGTCAGCCAGCGGAGTGGTAAGATTTCTTTCGTCATTTTATTTGTGAGCCAAAAACTGCAATAAGAGCGCAGCCTTATGGTAATTTGATGCCAAAGCAATTTGTCCTTATGCTTGTTGTTGGCATTTTTTCTAAAATTGCCTCTTACAGGAATTCAAAACATCTGGCTTCTCCAACACTGATACCAGCAAAGTCGTGGGAAGTCTGGAAACTAAATACAAGCGGTCAGAATATGGCCTGACCTTCACTGAGAAGTGGAATACCGACAACACCTTGGGAACAGAAATCACCGTTGAAGATCAGGTTAGGAATGTATTCATTTGCTGTTATTTAACAACATGTCACAGAAAAGCAAATATATATATATATACACACACACACACACACACACACACACTCTAAAGATGACCACACAGCATTCATTAGTGATTTATTATTGTTTCTTACAGATTGCCAAAGGACTGAAGTTGACTTTTGACACAACCTTCTCACCAAACACTGGGTAAGATGAATCAAATGAAAATTTCTGTGAATTCTTATTGAAATCTTAATGAATGAATCTTGTTATGACCATCGTTTCTTTAGACTAGTAATTATAGGAGCCAGATCTTTGCTCCATGTCCTTCTGAGAGTTGTTGTTGCTGGTTATGTGACCTTAATCAGAGTATGGAGGTAGTCTTTTTAAAAAGCCATTACAGAGACTGGCTCTCAGTCATTCCTATTTAGTTATTTTTACTTTACTTTTTACTTAAATGTGCTTTAGCAGTTAGTTGAACGTCATTAGAAGAAATATGTTGGACTTTACTATGCTGCTCATATGGTGAGGCAACAACAAGTAAGCTTTCTTTCTGGAGTATATAAATCACATGAGGAAAGGGAACATGGCCCAGAGGAAGCGTGTCATCTTTCATAGTGAGGGTGGAGTTACGTGGCTACATGGAGACAGCATGTTTACAGCTACAGTGTCATGCTAAAACTAAACACCACTGCTGAGACAAATGGGTTTTTATTATTATACCATGAGAAATGTAACCTCTCAGCTGGACTTGATTTAAAAGTTTTTATTTGAGTTTTAGTTTAGAAAACTGACTTTTTTTTCTCATCAACAGCAAGAAGAGCGGCAAAGTTAAGGCTGCCTACAAGCGTGAGTACGTCAACTTGGGCTGCGATGTTGACTTTGACTTTGCTGGCCCCACCATCCACGGAGCTGCTGTCATTGGATACGAGGGATGGCTCGCTGGTTACCAGATGAGCTTTGACACCGCCAAATCAAAAATGGCGCGCAACAACTTTGCCATTGGCTACAAGACGGGAGACTTCCAACTGCATACCAATGTGTAAGTAGAGATCATGTTTTACTCATTTGGATTTTAATTTTAAAATGTTTTCCCCAAATTTATAATAAATAATTTCAAAATAGTTCCAAAACCGCTGCCTAACTCTGAGAAATTGGAAGCATATGAGTTATAGTCAATTGACACTTTCTTAAGAAATCCCATATTTGGATTCTTGTTGCCTAAAATCTGTGTTATGATCTTTGAAGCAATGACGGTGCTGAGTTTGGTGGCTCCATCTACCAGAAGGTGAGCGACAATCTGGAGACTGCAGTCAACCTGGCATGGACTGCTGGCAGCAACAGCACACGCTTTGGTATTGCAGCCAAATACCAGCTGGACAACGATGCCTCCATCAGTGTAAGTAGTTGAGCACAGGGTTTCAGAATAACGTGGAAAAGGAAAAGTGATTGTCTTACACTGACTCTTAAATACTTTTTTTCCCTCCCCCACCCTTTAGGCTAAAGTGAACAACAATAGTCTTGTTGGTGTTGGGTACACCCAAACCCTTAGACCAGGTGAGTTGCTTTTCTACAGGTTCATCAACTGCTGAAAAGTTAATTAACATCTATTCTTACGACACGTATTAATCTTGTATCCTTTAATCTAACGCTGTTCCACACAGAAGTTTAGACTTGTTGATCTATATATAAATAAATGAACTGACCTAGGGCTGTTCGATATAACGATATATATATCTGATGAGGATCTAAAAACGTCTATCGTTTCATTTTACGCTATCGTTTGTTTCGTGGTGTCGCAAAATAAACAGTTTACAGTAATATTTTTTCATTGTTTTGATGGTCACTGTAGTGGCTATATTAATTTCTTAAAGTTCTCTCTTTCTCTTATATTTAATGTAACCACACTACGGACAGACAAGCGCCTGTTTTTATGCGTCGTCGTTAGCAACAACGACGGTAACGCCATCGCATGTCCGCTTGTTTATGTTCCACATAAACCTTTCACAATAAAGCTCAAGATCCTGTTAAAAGAGAAGTAAAAAAAGAGCCGCCAGGTGCTAAAAAATAAACCTTAGACTCAAACGTTAGAACAGGCTTTTCCCCGCAGCACGCCGTGTAATAAATACTCACAAAGAAAATGGCGGCTGTTACAACTTATGTCTAAAAATGTATAGTTTCATGCATCTGTTAAAACACTCGACTCCAGCTACATGACGCGCAGCTGGAAACACTTCCTTCACAGAATTTACAGAAAATGTTAAATTTTTGTGATTTATAGGTTATCAGGACGATAGAATTCTTATATCGGGATATGAGATTTTGGTCATATCGCACAGCCCTAAACTGACCTATAACAGAGACATTTATAGAAACACTTAACCGCCTACGTTTTTCTCACAAGTATCAGAATGTGATTTAAGCAAGGAATGTTGTAACGGTTAATGTGAGTTCATCTTGTGTGCAGGTGTGAAACTCACCCTTTCTGGTATGGTCGACGGAAAGAACATCAACGCAGGAGGCCACAAGCTGGGTCTTGGTTTGGAATTGGAAGCCTAAGCTTTCCTCATACTGGAAGGACTAGGGAATATCAGAAGAACCTGGCCTTAAATGTCATGTCCAACTCAAGCCAGCAAGGGGATATCTTGGAGAGAATGGTTCAAAGGCTACTGCAACAAACTCTTGAGTACCACTTCAAGTTGGTGCTTCTGTCAGTGGTACATTTTATCTTTTGTTGCTTTTTACTTTGTAGTCACATCTGTTCAAGAGACAGTTCTTGGCATAATATTTATAAATCATGTCATTGTTCCTGTCCAGCACTGCCATAATAATCCGATAAATACAATCACTTTGTCATCAATTCTGTGTGGCTTTATTGTGATAATCCAAGACACTCCTCTTTATTTTTTTTTATGTGTAAACATCAATACATTGATCTGTGGGGAGCATTGTCATACTTGCTCTGAATTCACACTCATGACCATCTGATATTCCTTTGTCATCCAGTTATTTGCAACCTTGTTAAGTACACTAGTACACTACCTTTTTTTTTTTTTTTTTTTTCCTGCTAATATTTAAATGTGGTCGAAACCTACCTGTCGATGCACACAAGGACAAAATAAATCCCTGTGATGTTTTGTTTTGCTTTGTCCATTGCAGTTTTTCATGTTCTGTTAAAGCTGCACATGTTACCTTCCCTAAAACTTGATAGTTTGGGGGGTTGCTTAAAGTTGGAACTGCAAGTTTGAAAGACACCTGTGTACAAGGCCAAACAAACGGGAACAAGCTTTTGTTTCTGTACGAACAGATCTGGGAGACGCATCATTGATGTTCTTAGTAATGCCAAACTGTCAATCTCTAGAACAAGAGTTCTCACTTGAAGTTGCACGTGTACACCCTCAAAAGTGCTTCCCTACTCAGAGCAAAGAGCCCACTGGAAGGTCCTTCTGTGTGTGTATTAATTTTCAATAAAGTCTTTGAACTCCACAAACGTACTCTAGTAGTCGATGGTAGCTTACCACTAACCATACCATATTTATTAACTGGTTAATATTAAACTTTGAAAGAGGATCAGGGTCTCTTAGCTCAGTCAAATTTGCTTGCTTATCTGACTTGTGAATACCTCTTAAATGAGGCAAAATATTTTAAGAAACAAACTGTTAAGCCTCTGTCAAATTAAAGTTGTTCTGACAGAGCAGGAAAAAATAGTTCAAATATATTGCAAGAAAGGTAATTTAGTAATTCTGTAATCAGACTGTCAGCGTTTTTGCAGCACAGACAGCAGTCTCAACTTCCTTGAGTCTTCTGTGTGCTTTGAACACCAAAATTAAAGCACTTTATGCCATTCACCCTTCAGCCATCTAAGGTTGTCAGATTTAATGAGGACCATCAACTGCTTCAAGTCTTGCGAAGGTGATTGAAGTTGGAGCTAGCATGCCACTTGAGGGCTTTTTTTGTGTGTGTATGTGTGTTGCTTAGTTATTCAGAGTCTTTTAAGTGATATTTTGGGAAGGATGATAGATGATTTTACTGTCAAACCCACATTCATCTGATATATTTAGTAGACGGAAACTGGGGGAAAGTTCTGGAAATATCAAGTCCAGTAGAGAATGATATGGTATAAAATATCAAAAACAGATGTTGAGCACAGAGTGGACACCGTTGAACAATCAATAAACTAACGAACAAGCAACAGCACGACATGAGAGAATCAATCCTCATGGAAGCCTACAACTCCTTTCCTTTCCAAAAAAGTTGGGATTTTGTGTAAAATGCAAAAAATAAATACAAACTTATTTTTAATCATTTAAAAAGAAAGGTTTTAAAATGAAAATACAGCTGATTTCATGTGATATGTCTCCTAATTGTACTAGCAGGTTTAATTCTTTAGGTATAGGCTTAAAAGGAATGTCACATTTATGCATTCAAAATCAAAGTAAGTGAAGTAGCTTCATTAGAAGCGTTTAATATGTTTAGAGCATCACAGTAGCAATCAGTGTAAACAGTATGTATGTTACGAGCTAGCTGTTTCATAAATATAACAGCTCCATTCACAGTAAGAATCAGAGGATCTTTTAATCTCACATTTATTTGTCAGCACATACCAAAGCAGATAATGATGGACAAAAAAAAATTAAAGGCAGCTTTCATTTTACATTCATACATGTTTTGTCGTGATTCAAAGGGATTTTTTGATACATCACAAGCTGATTTAAGGTTCAGAGGCAAGACTCCAGCAAACATTAGAGAAATTGTGTTCTCTGTGTTGGAAAAGAAGTTGCAGCCTTGAGATTTGTTCTCTTTGCTTGACTCTGCTTCATGCTTGAATTAGATAAGCCATTCTCTTTTTGTTTGCCTGATATTTGCCTGTTTAAACTGCTGTCTCATTAAATGGAAGCATTCTTCACATCTTCCATAACCCTGTTTTGGTTTTATTGCCCTTGTGTTTCTCTGACTTTACACTGTCCACCTTCCAAGTATTACCTTAAGGATCATTTACGATCGGCGTCATCAGACCCCTTTGGTTGCTGTGCTTGGTTTCTGTCTGCTGCCCCCTGATGAAACTCATTGATTTCTGCAGTTAAGGTTGTTTTTTCCTTTGGCACTGCAGATTGAACCGTTTGAATTCTATCCCCAGCATTTGCTTGTAGACTTTCCACTTTAGGAAGACTTTTTACATTAGATGTAAGAGATGATTCTTTCTCTTGGTCTTTATTGCTATCATTACTTGTATCTTGAATGCTTTTTGCTACTTTGTGCTCAGCTGCAGCATCAGATTTGCTGCTTTCCTTTGGCTCTGTATCAGCATGTTCCTTTCTCTCATTCACAAGTGCTGTATGTGAATTTAATTGAGCAGTCAAACCTGTGGCCTTCTCATCTGTCTCAGAATTAAGATTAACCATATCCTGAACCTGAATAGCGTTGCCTAGCTCTTGAGTTTTTTCTGATTGTTCAGACTCATGAACAGAGATTTCGCCAACAGACTTATTTGCAAGAGCTGAGGTCAAACTTATTTTCTCACCATGTCCTTGATCACATGCCACAGATTTGTTCTCAGTATTAACTTGGAGTTTATCATAAAGTTTAACAGAAAGCTCTGTCTGAGCCTTTTCCACTGTAACTGTTGTCATATCCACCTTTTCTGTGCTTTCAGCTTTTTCTTGATGCTCAAGCTCTTCAACAACAAAGCTTTCACCCAATAAATCTTCCTTTTGTGCAACTTTATCTATGCTGTTCTCTTCGTCATTCTCAGCCACTTCAGTCTCCTGTGACCCTTCTTTATTTTTATAACCCTGATCATCCTGATCAGGACTCTCTTTACCCCCACCATCACGTCCATTCTCTTCATTTACCACTGATACTTGATTCTGCTGACTGTCAGATATCTGGTCACCTTCTCTCTCTCTCGTATCTTTGCTATCATTCTCTTTCTTACCGCTCCCTCTCTCACTTTTGGAACATCCCTGCTCATTATTTCCCTCTTCTGAGCCTGTATCCTCAAATTCTGACATCTCAATTTCCCTGGTGGTCTCTGTTATGATTTCCTCTACAAACTTGTAGTGGGGCTCTGCTCGCCTGCGTGGGCCTCCCGGTCGGTTATGGCAAGGAAGCGTGTAAATAGGGGACTGATGGTAGATATAGGGCAAAGAGATGTGTGTGTCTGACTCTGTGGACAGCCGAGCCTCCTCACCACAGAGAAGTTTCCTGCAGGACAAGAAAGACAAATCTTATGTTAAGTGTTGGTTGTCTTTTAAATGTCATCAAACACCTGACATTTCACCTAAAGTTTACCAAAGGCTGACCTCATACATGACACTGTAATGTAATGTTCTCCATCTAGACCCTTAAAAGAACTGTTCTCATTACATTACCAACTGACTGTTGCAGTAACATCATTTCCACAGCACTGCACTGTCATTGATTTCCCGGGACAATGAAGTTAGCTTCAGTCTAGGTAAATGCAGGGCTCTTAGTGCCTGATCAAAGCACTATGAGCTGCTTTAATCTAAGAGTCTGAAAAGTGGGATCTATGTGGAAGTCTATGGAGTACATAAATAATCTCTTTCCCGTAGAAGACAAAAGTTAGCCACCGTGATAATAATACCTGTAAGACAGTATCTCCACATCCAAAGCCATCTTCACGTTCAACAGATCCTGATATTCCCGCAGATAACCAGACATGTCGAATTTGCAACTAATGAGCTCATTTTCAAGTTCTTTGATTGTGTTCTAGGGCAGAAAAGATAACATTTGTTAAGTGAGCATATAAACAATGCGCACGGCTTAATTATAACATGAAAACCACTTTACCTGATAGTGAATAATTTCCTCCATGTGGCGATCCTCGACGTCATGAAGTTGCTTCTCCAACGCTTCTCTGGTACCTTTAGCGCAATCCAACTCGATGTTTTTGGCCTGCAAGCTCTTCCTGTACTGCTGAATCTCTTGCTGGCTCGCTTTTAAAGCCTTTCTCTTGGTGTCAACTGCCTCCGTTAATCTTGCAATCTGAGATCGGAAAGTTTCTCCTATCTGCTGAATGTCGGACGCGCTGTGACCTTCCAGCTGTGCCCTGATGTCTCGGAGTGCCGCAGTGACGCCAGGGTGTCCAAATTCGTGGTCTTTCACAGTTACTTGCGCTCCCTGGATTTGGTCCAATATCTCTGCCACCTGGGCCTCATGGTTGTTCTTCAGGAAGTGGATTTCATCTACGAGGGACTGCGCTTTCTTGTCCAGGTGTAGTTTAGCCTGATACGCGTCGCTGACGTCCTTCTTCAGGACCATGATTTTACTCTCAGTATCGGATCTGCTACGAACCTCTTGTTCACATTGCCGTCTCAAGGTGGAAAGCTCTTCCTCTAAATTCTGATGCTCAATATCAATCTGATGCTTCTGATGTGCAATTTCCTGAACCAGCTGTCTCATCTTCCTGACTTCTTCTCCATACTCCTCCTCTAAACAAGATGCGGGCTTTGCTTTGCCTCGTATCTCTTCAATTTCTCTCTCCAGCTCGTGGTTCTTGTGTTCCAGCTGGTGCACCTTCTCTATGAATCCCGCCAGCCGATCATTCAAGCCCTGCATCACTTCTTTGTCATTAAACTTTGCATGTACATTTACCGGGTTGGTCCAGTTCGTCCCCCTGATGGCGACACCGCTATCCGGTCGCAAATGTCTAGCTTTTTGTTGTGAATCGAGCTCTTTTGCGATTCTGTGTGCGTTGCAGAGTCTGTTATCCATGCTGTGAATCGTGTCGGCGCTGTAAAGGTGCAGTAAAGAGAGGCTCCACGAGGGTTTTTATAACCGTCGCCATATGCTAGGTATGCAGAATGGAGCTGTCCACGGTGCTGAGAGGGTGTAGCATCAGCTAATACCTGATCAGCGCTTACACCACATTTTAAGCATGTGACGCCGGTAACATGACCATTCAACATCATCAACATCATCATCATCATCATCAACAACAACAACATTATAACAATCTGTACAGCGTCGTTGTATGTACCTATTCTCCTATTTTCATAAAGTAATTGGACAGATTCAGATTGGCGTAATTAATTAGTATGAATTTTAGGAATATTTTTAATATTTCCAGCAATTAACTACATAACTACATGTACCTTTCTCCCTACCCTCCACCCTCAAATTCTGTTTTATCTTTTGAGATGCTTTACAAGCAGCTGCCTTCTGCTGCCTTCAGCTGCTGATTGTTTGTCTTCAAAGAGTGAGAGACATGTTCGTTTGCACTGAGGTCAGGTAACTAATTCAGCCATTCGACAACATTTCATTTCTTTGCCAGGTAACACCCTTGGATTGCTTTCTCAGTATGTTTTGGGTCATTAGCCATTTGTACTGTGAAGCACTATCACATTTGGTTTTCATCATTTGACTGAATCTCAGGAGAAAGTGAAGTCTTGCATGCTTCAGAATTCATCCTGTGACGTCTGTCAGCAGTTACATCATGAATAAAGGCCAGTGATGCAGGTCAAGGTTCAAAGTTCTTTATTGTCATCCATCATGGAGAAATAAGACAGGATGAGATGAAGCGGATGAAGATGGATGGATGGATGGATGGAGATGAAGTTACTGAGGTCTCAGTGCTCATAATGATTAGAATAAGTAACGACCTAATTAAAATATAATAAAAGTAATGTCAAGCTAAAAATATATATATAAATGTAATTAAAGAATAATACTAACATAAATAAAACACTTTTAAATGAATAAATGACCTATTAATTCCATTAAAAGTTTATTAAGTCCATTAAAAATACAGAATGCAAATTGTGTGTATTCAGAGGTGTGGCGGTTGGGTACTGTTCAGCAGTCTCACAGCATCTGGGAACAAAAGCTGTTCATCACCCTGGTGGACCTCGACTTGATGCTGCGCAGCCTCCGGCCTGAGGGGATTGGGAAACAGTGCCAGGTGGGTGGATTCTCTCATGATGCAGGTTGCTCTGTCCTTGTACCTGCTGGGTAAATGTGTGAGAGGGGAAGTAAGCTACATCTGATGGTCCTCTGTGCATCTTTAACCACCCGCTGCAGTGCCTGCTTCTCTGCCACAGTGCAGCTGCAGTTCCACACAGAGATGCAGGCAGTCAGTGTGTTCTCCACAACACACCTGTAGCAAGAACTGAGGGTGTTGGAGTTCAGCCCCACTGCCTAGGGCTTCCTCAAGAAATACAGCAATCAATGATGTTGTGTTCACGCCAGGTAAGGGTGTTGTTGAGGTGTATTCCCAGGTATTTGAAGCTGGAAACTCCATAACCGCCCCACTGATGTAGAGATAGTTTAATATCTGTCAAATTTAGCAATCATCCCTTAGTTTAGTTGATGTTTAAAATTAGGTTGTTCTCCTTACACCACAGCCCAAGTCTGTCTACCTTCTGCCTGTGGTGATGACGAGCACCAACACTGCTGTGTCACCTGTGAACTTCACTATGAGGTTATTGCCATAGTAAGCTCTGCGGTCATGTTCAGCTGTTGGTAGTGATACCCGACTAAGCCCCAGATGATGAGGTTTTATTTATGAGCCATTTTTTTCCTTCTCCCTCTTCTGCATTGCTTCAGTAAATGTTGATCTCAGTTTCATATGTCAACAGAATCTGGTTACCTCTGACCTTTTGCTCACCAGTCTATGCATTCTTTAGAAGAACACACCAAAGTGTTGTTCTGGAAACTTAAATGTTCTGATTGCTGACTGAACTCTGATTGAGCTCTGTTCCCTTTTTTCTGCTTCACTTTCACCAGCTGCATATCAGACTGCAATGAGACATCATTCCATGAAAATGGAATCAATTGCAGACCTATTCTCACCTAGTTTCCTATCTCTGCACTTCAATCACATGATGATTGCTGCTTTTGAAATCCAATGTGGTGCTATACAAAGGCAAAATTGCAATACTTGATACCAGTGCACTCTACTCTGTATAGTCAAATTTAAAAAAACAAAAAACTTATGCAACTAAAAGCACAAAACAATTATCAATGACGTAGTTTTCGTCTTTCCACTGGAAATTAATGTTGAAATGTCAGCACCATAACGTGGGCATTTTATCTTATAAAACACATGGAGACAGTAAAGACTGAAAAAATATAACACTCAATTTGATGTTAAATACACCAACAAAAGACTCAATATAAAGAATTTATGTGCTTTTATTTGATATCAGAACTGATGCACTGAAAAAATATGTCTGACCTATAACTAGAGATGTTAGCGTTTAATAGCAATAGTCAGGCCATCCCCCACAGTGAGCATGCTCAGTTCAATCCTCTGGTCCTTGTGTAGCTTCTTATTGAGCGCATCTAGACCTTGTGAGGTCAAGTCACTGGGAGCAGGATTCACAACCTTTCCATTCCACAGCACCTTCAAATACAACAACAACAGAGCTGTAAAAACATGCTGCACACCTCCCCGTTGTCAACACTGCAGCATGACTTCCCTAACAGAGTTTAATTGTGCTTCTGTGAAGTGGACTTACATTGTCAATTGCAATAATGCCCCCTTTTCGTATCAGCTCTAGAGACTTTTCATAGTATCTGTCATAGTTAAATTTATCAGCATCGATGAACACAAAGTCAAATGTCCCAGCTTCTCCAGCTGCTATCAGTTCATCTGGTGAAACAGAGATATAAATATATGTATTTATGGTTTAATTGCTTGTTTTTAAAGAAAGAAACAGACACAGATTTATGAAAGTGTTTACCCAGTGTCTTCATAGCGATTTGATGCCGAACATCTATCTTGTTTTCGACTCCCGCCTATGGAAAACGTTAAATAGCAGTAATTGAGAAAATCTGCAGGGATTTTTAAAGTGAGTGTTTGCAAAAGCTAAAAAAGGTATTGATTTTCCTGCTCAGCCGTGCCTTCTAATGTGACACACTTTCCTGAACAGACACCTTTTTACTGTCCAGACCACGGTGTTTTGTGAAGATGTACTGACAGTCTGAATGTACAGCATGCTGTCTTCAGCACAATTTAGCTCTGACAGAAGCAACAATCAGTCTTACTTAACTTGCAAAATGCCAAATTGTGGTGTTGTGCAAGTGTCTTGTGCTGTTCTTACCTCTTTAAAAAAGGGTTTGGCAATGTCTATGTAGGTGCTTTCTATTTCACAGGCAACCACACGTCCACTTTCTGGCATGGCCAAAGCCATATTCAGTGCATTGTACCCAGTGTACATCCCTGCATAATAATTTGAAGGAGAATCACTTTAGACTTGGATCTTCAGCATAACATGGATAACAGATAATACACCATCGAGGACCTGAATCTACAAACAGTTCAATATCTGTCAAATGTAACTTTGCTGCCTATTAAAAAGACTGAATTTGTAACATTTGATTTCCTCTGGATTAAATTTCCCAGTCACTGATTTAAATTTACAAAGTCTGAAAACCCCCAAACAAATCACTATATTCAAGATGATCAAAATAAGTAAATCTTTATTTAGTCAAAAGATGTGATTTAGTTGTGCGACTAAGCTGGTTGAAAAAAATCAGACAGCAAAGTTCAAGCCAAAAAAATCATTTTCAGACAAAAAAAATCAAGCAAGCATTAAATTATAATAAGTTGGAAGAATACTTAGAATGTCTTTATTATTATATTAATAATATTATTATTATTATGGGATTAGCACTTTGATACTAATTAGTACATTCAGCATTGGTATAATTATGAAATAGTTTAATTCCACAGTAGTTTTTGTTGCCTTTTAAAATGGCCTTTCTTTTTCTTTTTGGTCTCACTCACCAATTTCAATAGCTTTAGTGGCATTAATCAGCCTAATGAGATTTGCCATCAGTTGGGCTTGATCACTGGCAACCATCATTGTACTCCACTGGTCTTCAAGGGTTCTCTGAATTGAAAATATAAAGCAATTTAATATCCAGGTGAATAACCAGAAGAAGAAAAAACATAAAGTTTCAATACTTGACATTTATCATCAGTTTTTGGAACTTTACTAGAAGGATGAAACTCAGTTCTTCCTAAAGATATTGCTTCATTTGCTGTTTAAAAAAAAAGAAAGATAACAGCAGAGTGTGCTTTCGAGCTCGACTGTCCAAAGACACCAGATGTCAATCCAGCCGAACAACTGTGACATAACTGAAAAATATCCGATGGCTATAGCGCATGTTTCAGTTCATTCAAACAAGCCATTCAGTAGATCTTCATACATCAATTTGAGCATTATCATTGCGGAAGAGAGCATACCATAAGGGCTGAAATGTTTCATAACTGGATAAAGGTGGTAACTTCAGACAGCTTCATGTTGGCTTTGTCTCTGAGATAGTATACCCAGGCTCCATCAGCACACTACCACACATATAATGGTTTAGCTTTTCCTTTCATGCGTTACCTGTCTGTATATAATGTCTGACTAACATAATAGACAACACGCTCATTGTGTTGTTACACTGCATAAAACTAAGGTTGCATGCAGTTTGGTAAGGTTTTGTTGCACTATGCTGCCCTCTAGTGATCAAAGCTATTACTGCTTCAATCCTGTGTTAATTATCTTCTTTGTCTTCCTCCACTTGTATTGCCCTTGTTTAAATATAAGTATCAATAGATCATAAAAAAGTTGACTCAAACAGAAACTACACTAAAGCAGGAAATACATTTTATTCTAAGCAGGTACTTTAAAAAAAATATTCTGTTGTTGAATCAGATGGCAGTGAGACCTAAAGTTTGGGTGCCCCAACTTCAAAGACACAATCATCTTTAGTTTTTTAGCCTGGAGCATAAAATGACCACACGCCCTACACCTGACCTAAATAACCTGCTGGTGGCCTCAGCATGTAAATTAATGCTGGCAAAGCACGACTGCGCATGTTAAGTGAAAGGTGTTCAAGAGAATCCTGATCAATCCATTTGCCATATCCATTTATTTATCCTCGAGGGTGACACTGGGTGAGAGGCCGGGCCAAACCAGGACAGGTCGTAAAGAGACAGGCAGCCATAGACATTCACAAACACACATATGGGAAATTTAGAGTCACCACCTGATCTACTATTTATGCTTTTAAACTCTGGAAACAAAATTGCATTAACTGCAATTTAAAAACAACACGGTGAAGGTAACAAGAGAGGTTTTGGTTGGTTTCATCTTACTGAAAAAAGTCACGTATTTCTTGCTAAGATAAGTGGCAAATGTACATCATGAAATTAGTGATGAAGTTATCATCCAGTCTTTATGCTCGTCTGGTTACCTTACCAGTCTGAGTTTGGTGAGGACAGGGTGCTCCCTCAGTGAGTTGTTAGCTACATACTGAAGCACGGGATCAACATTCTCTATACCATGGATTTTCCCAGTAAAGGCAGATTTTCCCACACCTGACCAACAAAATATGAAACAGATGGAGATAACAGAGATATCCAAGAAACTGCAACCACACATCCTTACTTAAGTCATCACATACCTGTTAGTATGAGAGCGAGTCCAACACAGAAAAGCACTTTAATCTCTGCAGCCATTATCTTACTGCTGTGGGCTCTCGTAAAGAAACACAGGGCAGCTTCTTTGTTTGAATCTACCAGTTCTCACTGTGTCAGGCCTTTTTGTGCCAGCCTGTATTTGTTTTGGTTAACCTTTAAGAGGGTTTCGCTCAACGTATTGATTTGTAATGATATTGCAAAAGATAGCACAAGGTTGATGCATTTAGGAAAACACACGATGGAATGAAACTCAGAAAACAAAGCATAAGATGTACAACTACCTTTTAAATATATTTTTTAATAACTTGCATTTATTTATTTATTTAATTTATTTATTTAACAAATCTTTCTTAATGATTTTGAGATTTACCCGTGGTTGACAGTGAGTCCTCTAAAAATAGTACAGAAAGACTGTTGTATTTATAGTTTCCATCTATTAATCTGCACTTTATTACTGTGTAATAAACAATGCGAACAACTATTAGAAACTTGAATCTTTAATTCCCCATTATCCCCCTGTGTTAATTTATGTGCTAAAACAATTGAATAAAAACAACTAGTGGCCACCGTAAGAGGAAGAGTAACATCCTATGTTTTGCCACTTTAACAAAACGGCTTTATTCCCAAGCAAGATGCAGATTTGCAAAGCTGTAATATATGTAAGGTATCAAAATCACGACTTTCATTTTCATATAGCCATCAAAAATCAGCCATTTCATTTATTTCTGACAGCTATCTCTAAGATTTCATATCCGTTTATTGGGAAGATATGTGATCTGACACTTAATAATCCTTCATTGAGATTCAAGCGCATTTTCTTATTGTTTTCTAGCCTGCATTGCTGCCTCCTAGTGGTAGGTTGGCTAAAGAGGCTTTCTTTTTTGTTTTCCTTTGTAGTGTACTGAATGCATGTACTGGTACTGCCCTGCTTAATCTGACAGGCATTTGGGTATGTTGAGCACCACAACAGAGACATTAACAAAAATAATGAGAAAGTTAAGACCAAATGTTAAAGTTATTGTGATGTGGGAAAAAAATGTGGCTCCTCTGAAACTTGATCTATATTCTAACCTTGTTGAAAGGTATGCATGAGCTGAACCTTATCGAACCACAGAAATTCCACTTTTACTGTCCTGTTAAATTTAAGTCCTAATATTTTTATATCTTGGAAGATATCATGGAAGAAGTGCAGTTTAAAGGGTGGCTGAGCAAGTCAGCAATTATGGCTACAGAATTTCAGCTGAGGTCATCCAGACCATCTGCAGTGTTTATTCAAGGGCAGTTGTCCAACAAAACCAAGCCAGTATGTGCAACCCAGGGGCAAGAAGTCAAAAAGTGGTGAAATAAATAAAGAATGAAGTTAGGGCGAAAACCTATTTATGTAACTTTGGACAGCAGAATCAACACTTTTATCGTTTTAAAAATGACTCATAAGTGAAGTACATTCAGGAGTTTAGCAGCTTTACTTTCACAGGCTCACTTGTTCTCATGTTACCAGTGGGTTATTTGTAAATTTGTTAATGTTGGTGTATTTTAGATAGATATTATAATTGATATTAATTGACATTAGCTGTCTTTGTCTCCTCAGCATGTACTGTGTACACATCACTACTAATTTAGTTACACAGCTACATAGAGAGTGATCATTATAGGTTAAAAAAAAACACACACATCAGTAACAGTGACAAAGCCCAGGAGAGGATGCTCTAGTTATAAAAAAAAAAAAATCAATGGTGAAATTGGAACCTAAGCAAAGTCTAGCAAATCATCAAACCCATGTTCAGTCAAGGCTGAGCTCACATATTGCACTGAGGAAATAGCCAACACAGGGCCACACGCTCAGTATGATATTGTCAAATTACAATCAGAAACACCGAAGACTTATTTAGGCAACAGTAACAGTAATGACAGAGTTGCATGTGCATATTTCCTCTGGGACATTTGATAAAAGGTTGGTACTGACAGTAGTCAACAATTTTGTGGCGGATACAAGCAAGTTGTAGAGTCATCTGGGTCACTTTCACACCTCCACTTTCCTGATCTCTCCTGTCCAAATACTCCAATTTTAGGATGATGACAGATACCTGGCATCCTTGGCAGAGATTTCAATGAACCAATCTTGACAAGTGACTCCATACCTTTGCTATGCTGCTATTGATGTAGGCTGCTGGGAAGTTTTACAATCCGGAGCAGTACCTATACACAATGACGACTCTCCAGAAGTCCAAAAAGAGCAAATTTTAACCTTGTCACAAAAAATCCAAACAATACATGACGTGGTCTTCTGCTGCTGTAGGCCATCTGCCTCAAGCTTTAACGTGCTGTGCATCAAGAGATGCTCTTCTGGTTACTTTGGGTGTAATGAGTGGTTATTTGAGTTGCTGTTGCCTTCCTATCAATAGAATAGGCCTAAAACTATTCTGATAAAGCTTGCAGTTAAAGCTGAATGCGAACCATCTCTTTCATAAGCTTCTACAGGGAGAGGAGCCCGGGAGACCTCCAGTGATGAGCTGATGGCCCTTTGATCTACTCTTCTCTCTTTAATTCCCAGTACATTTGCTGTATACGTCAATATTGCATGCCATTAACCTTTTCTCTTCTTACTCATGCAGTTTGTGCTTTTTCTTATGTTCTCTTGTTCTGTGTGCTTTTGTGCTTTTGTGCAGGTACCTCTGGATTTGAAACTGCATGTTTTCTTCTTTGGTTGCAGGCCTCGCCAACCTGTCCAGTGTTTATTGCTTACTTGCTGTTTGCTGCTCCACCTTTTGTTCTCCACTCATTCTTTGAATTGAACCGCTGAATGCACAGTAGCTCAGAAAGCACAAGAATGGTGAATTCTCCTTACAGTGTTATCCATGCTGTTTGTGAAGAGATGACTTCACAAACAGTATGGGAAACAGAACTGACTGCAGAGAAATATCATTCATTTTGTCATTTGGGACTATTACGTTAAGACGGACTTGAAAAAAGAAAAACTGAACCTACAAGCTTTGCAGGGAGTTTATTCTTTTTAATGTTTTGCATCTTCGTTGAGCTTATCTGTAAAGCAGGTAAAGTTTAACGAGCAGTGTTTCATAGAGCAAGTGCGACGGAGCGTGTTCAGAAAACACGCTTTCAGATCGTCTCGTCTTACAACTTCAAAACAGGAACAGGGAAGACAGTAGCCAGGAATGTTCAAAAAGGAATTTTGGGGATGTGAGTGGGATGCAAGGTCTCTCCAAGGACACAGAGCTTCCTCTGTCTATTCCCTAATTAAGAATGCACAGATACAAACAAAAACATGCCGCAGACAAGAACGCATCACTTAAATGAGCCATGACACAAACTGTCTCTGAAAAATGTTTGAGTTGTGATGGGGAAAGGAAGAGGATGTCTCAGAGTGTGCGCACAGCTCTGCTAAAGTCCTCTTGGTGAAAATGAGATGCCGTGTTTTTCCACCATCCTCTCCCGCTCCCTCTCTCCCGCTGCTTCAGGCCTCTGCTTATGTGACGCTAATTGTTTCTGCTACTTGTGCCAAGTACCTACTCTTCCTCAGCACATTCTACAGACAGGTCCTGGTCCCTTAGCTGCTTTTTGTGTCTGTTTAAGGAATGAAAAAATGTGTGCTGCCATCTGCAGCGTGCACACCACTGTTCCTCCTCCCGGCCGTGACTGTCATGGTGCCACAATGGTACACATTCACATACTCTCTCAGAGGTAGGAAAAAATATGTGGTAAAGAAGCAAGAAAACAAAACTGACACGTACAACTGCTAATATGAAACAAAATAATTCAAGAGGTTCCTGTTTTGATGCATTTAGCGTTCGGGAAGGAAGATGCCGTGTGCCGCGTGAAAAGCCTTTTAAATTTTGCAGACCATGCAGAGAAGATATAGTAGATTTACAAACCGTCCCATATATGTGCTACTCACTACTATAGATTTTAACAGAAGCCTGCACAAAAATCTATGCCAATTTTAGGACTGTGACCCCATATGAGTTCACTCTAACTAGATAATCGAGTTAGAGTACTTTAAAGTTCAGTACTTTAAAACAGCCAGCAAGTGGCAATGTTGTTTAGCTTATCCACATTTTTGTCTGTTCACAAGCTAAAAACAAGCTTACCACACAAAGAGGCAGGCCTTCAGTCCTCTGTATGGGAAGGATATCACTTTCCTCTTGCTGAATTGACCTGTGACACCATCAGAGAGTGCAAGGACGCCACATATTGACACTCTTGTAAAGCCACATGGGTGTTATGTCATTCGTGTGTTTATCTCAGGAAGACTGCTTCACTGATGCACTCAAGCAGCCGGAGTCAGTTTGGCACCATCTCAGCAGTCAGATAAGTGCGCATGAATATTAAGTGATGCTAATCACAATGGAGAGACCAACGTCTAGACGACTGACAGACATTTCTCAGCATTCAACCGGCGTGCTCAGATTTGTCCCGTGTTTGACAGCAGCATCGCCCAACATGACAAGTCTGTTTAAAGCTTCCAGAAGAGGCTCACACACGTGCCCGTGCACCAGCACGCACGATTAGAGACGCATTGACACTGATTTTACTCAAACTGGGCCAATGTGTGTGCAAGACCTTAGGTAGTGTTTCTCGGCACACGTGCACACAAAGAGCGTCAGTTTATATAGGCCACTCAAGGGGATTGCAGAATGTAGATGAGGATGTTGGAAAATATTCTCAAGACCTGCTTTTCCATCATGGAAATATTTATTTGTCGTTTCTGTATTAAAATACGGTGTATTTTACAGCGAGAATGTTGAGGATAAGCCATCCAGTTCATTATCATCCTCTCTTTGTGCATTCGAGCTATACAGAACAAAACAGTGGATCTGCTTCTGTGGGGGAAAAAAAAGGGGGGGGGAACAGAAATGAATAGCAGGTGTGGTTGTTTGACTTTCAAATCATCTAGGCATCTATTCTATTAACCTGCCGTGTAAATAAATGCAGAATTCAATTTCCATGGAGTCACGCATTAACTTGACAGTCCTCAAGAAGATCAAACAGGCTGCTTGGGGGCACGTGAGCCACAGTGAAGAAAA